TGCGTCGGGAGAGCAGCGCGAGCTGGGCGGGAAGGGGGAAAGGGGAGGGAGGGAGGAAGAGAAGGGCCGGGTGATGTAAATATAAAGTGAGTTATATTAAAGAAAAGATTCATCGTATGAGACGAGTTTATTTTACAAAATTTGTTTTATTACACCAGACATACACGTATTTTGGAGACATTGCTGTGGAAAAACACTGCGACCTTCTAATGCAGTACTTGCATAGGGCAAAGCCATATAAAATAGAATTGGGAGGATTAGGTTCTTGGTATCCGTTGGGCCTTTGGGAAGATCTCCACAATATCGGAGCTGTGGATTTCTGTAGTTGAGGATTTTTTGCTCTTTCCAGAAAAAAAATCCTGCAGTGGTTGCTTGGGTACTGGAATAAAAGGTCTTCTGCACCAGCCTTATTCAGAACGCTACAGTGGCAAAAGTAACTGGCAATTTAATTTGCTCTGTTAGAAAGCCCATGGACTATTAACCTTGTTTCTTCCCAAGGCCAGAATACATACATCCTCAGCTACTGCTGCATGTGTGAATTTTTGGACATCACAGTTATGGTAATGGGGGATTACTGTGACTTCAGCACATTTTTTACCAGAGGGCAGCAGATCTTTGCTGAAGATCATCTAGGTTTAATTTTTCCAGATTTTGGAGAAAGCCTTGGTAACATTTAGAAATCAATATATTTGTGTGTGTGTACTGCCTTCAAGTTCGTGAAGGAAAGGTTAGTTCCCTTGCAGAAACAGCTGGAGAAGGCAGTTCCTGGGAAGATGATATGAATTATGTCTGTAATAGACAGTCATGAGAGGTATCACTAGAAGTATTTGTAATTTAGAGAAAAAGGCTTATGGTTTGTTGCCAAGGTGCTGACAAAGGAAACTACATCTTTACAACAGCTGATTCAATTGTTCTCTGCCTGAGTTAAATGGAGTTCCGTAACCAGCTTGTAAACACCACTGTGCTTCAATCTATTTGCAATTGCAAATAGATCCCATTAATTCCATCGTTAGCACATTGTCGATTTCAGAGGGAAAGCTCACAGGTTCAAAGTAATGGGCGGTGGACATGTATTTAAGTCTTCTGAAAAATTAAGTTTTGCTTCCTAGCAAAACTGCTCCATCATTGATTACAGTTATATCAATACAATTATTTAAAATACAAATAACCTTTCTTTAAAATTGCAGCAGCTTCACTGGTTCCTCAGAATCTTGATAGCCATTCACCTAAGTGCACAGAGAATCATGGAATCTCAGATTGGCTTAGCTTGGAAGGGCCCTTCAAGACCCCCCAGTTCAATCCCCCCTGCCACAGGCAGGAACACCTTCCACAAACCATGTTGCTTCAAGCTCCATCCACCCTGGCCTTGGACACTTCCAGGGATGGAGCAGCCACAGCTTCTCTGGGCTGAAGTTTTCTTATATTTTGTCTCAGTTTCATGTAATCCGTTGCTAGGAGTGCAAAGCTCTTACAACCTGCTATTTCAAAGCCTTTATTGTACTATATGGATGGATACAGCCTTAGTCGTATCTCACAGAATTCAAAACCTCCAGACACAGGCAAGAAGCAGACTGAGCTATTTTAACAGTCCTGGTATATGTTTTTCAGGGCATGACAACCTTTCTTGTGCAACACATCTGAAAATTGTCTGCCTGAAGCCTCGCCTCCCTTGTCAGATGAGACTCATTGTATGGGGTATTTCTACTCTCTCTTAGGGGAGAACATGACCAGTTTGCCATTATCACAAAAGTTGAAGCTCCCTGCATTTAGGGAATTGCAGTTGTCAGCACATCCGTCATGCAGGTGGCAGCCTCTCCCTGGAAAAATATGGATCAGCTGAAGTGGTCCAGTGGAGAGTATGGGCCATTCACTTAAGGGTTAGACTTGCTGGTCCTTGTGGGTCCCTTCCAACCCAGAGTATTCTGTGATCTGGAAATAAAGATTATGTATGAAATAAGGAAGAAAGGACAGATGCAGGGAAATACCTGCTTCACAGAAGGAAGTCCCATACCTGTTTCCTAAATCGCTGAGCATAATGGGAGTAGATTGCACCTTGTAAAACAACCGTGAATTTACCTGCTGAGCTGCAATCTAACCTGAGTGGTTTTCTGGGGGTCTTGGATTCTTCTGCAGGGGGAACTACATGATTATGCCTTTTCTGTCCAAGACACAACCTTAAAACAAAATTTATCTGCAGATTTCAATTCTAGACTTAGAATATATAAACAAAAAAAATCTAACAGTGCTTTGGAAAACAGTTGTTTCACATTTACTTTGTTCTTTAAGAAAGTGTTTGCTGAATTAATCTGATGAATCTCTTACATCAAACACTTCTTTGTAGAGTTCTCTCACAGTCCCCTTGTGCATCCTCTTAGACAAACCAGGACAGCCTTAAAAGCATCCCATCACTCTTTGAAGCCTCCCATGCCTCTTACTACTGATTGCGTTAAATTACTCAGTAAATGAATATTACAACATAGCTCTCATTGTCTGAGGTTGAGAAAACATCTAAGTACAGCAGGCTGGAAAAGTGCTTTATGATACTAGAGACGTTTTCCACACTGTATGACTTCAGCAATGAATATCCATTGAAAACTGAGGTATCCAGAAAAGAAATAAGTGCAAGCATTTGCCTGTCTTTGTTGTGTGCCTCAAGCAAGTCTTTGTCGTTATTGCTGCTGCTGGAGATGGTTACGCTCTGGTCTGGAAATTGTCCCTTGACCTTGTTTACCTGGAGCTTTTGAATTCCCCAAATGGCCATATATTGTGTTGGGAGAGGAGTGGTACCACAGAAGGACAGCTTCAAATCCCACACCCTTGTGAAGTTGAGGACCATCCCCAGCACAGAGGTGTCTGTGAACCAGATGCTCAGGTGGCTGTTGTAGGTAGTTTTTTCCATGGTAGGAGGCAGCACTGTTTTGCAGTTGCACATCAATTTTGCCAGGCAGTAATCGCAGTCATGGATAGCCACAGAACAGCTGCAGTTGTGAATTGTGTTTTCCTCAGTCAAAATTTGCACGTGGTTCTTCTGATTTCTCAAAAAAACTGATGTGTATGCCAAGGAATCTGGCCAAAATGAGAGCCAGAAAAATGGAGAAAGCAGGGTAGACTATTGGCTTCATTAGTAGGTACCAAGCTGCCAAGTGTCTTCTCCTTATACTGAGTGATTTAGATCACATGGCTTTACCTACTGCGAAAAAACAGTTTCTTTACTATACTAAAGATCTCTCAATGGTTAATATTACTTTGCTTTTCCACTCATTACTTGTTGCATACCTGGCCTATTTAGAGTCATACTGCAGTTCTGCATTAAGGGGAAACCACAACTACACTGATTTAGAAAACGGATTGTGACTAAAGTTTGGGATTCTTTTTTTGTTCTTTTTTTGCCCTAAGTGGTTATTATAACCACTAACGGATATAATATGGTGTTATTATAATATGGTTATATGATGTTATTAATTATAACACATTGAACACATTCTTCTCTATGCAGACAGCTCCTTGGTCTGGCCTGTGCAGAGGTAAGGACAGGACAAGGAGTTATGCAGGACAATTCTTGCTTGTTTCTCCTTTCTGCCTTTTTTACTTCCAACCAGACAGTGGTGACAAAGGACCCTGTTCTCCACTTCACTGAGTGAGGCAGTCTGAGAAGGCCTAGCAGCAATAGCTTTGTTTTACACCTGAATTGCTAAGTAACATTGTGATAACCTTTCCCTTAAACTGATTTTGGGATATTGTTGGGGATTATGTATTCTTCCTTTTATTTTTTCTTACCAATAGAATTTTTCCTCATTAGTTGTGGGGAAACCTGACTGCTGGTACTTATTGGGTGCTTGAGAAGACAAAGAGTTTAGCTGGGCTCAGGGGGAAAGGAAGCTGCAAGTACAAGGGAGGGCAGCGGCAGCTAAGGACAGAGCTTCTTCTTGTTCTTCTTCTTGTTCTTGTTTTTCTTGTTCATGTTCTTGTTCTTGTTCTTCTTGTTCTTCTTATTCTTGTTGTTGTTGTTGTTGTTCTTCTTCTTCATCATCTTCTTCTTCTTTGTCTTCTTCTTTGTCCTCTTCGTCGTCTTCATCATCATCATCATCTTCATTGTCATCTTCATTGTCTCCTTCTTCTTTGTCTTCGTTGTCTTCCTTGTCTTCATTTTCTTCTTCTTTTGTGGGCCCTCGCACCCCCTGTTCTGCCAGGACATCCTGCAGTGCCAGCCACTGCCGTGGAGCTTCTGATACATCTTATCCACTGGCCTGGGATTTCCGCTCATTCCTGCCGTTCCAGCAGGGTGTTCCTCAGAATCCTGCAGGGGCACAGGGATCAACTGCCCACAGGGGGTTTGTGAAGCAAAGCCTCTCCTCCATCCTTTCCTGTCTTGGCCGAGAAGGCTGTCACGAGGTCCCTCATTCTGTTTTGTTATTAATGCCATAGTTGTTGTTGTTTGTTTGCCTTGCTATACATACTAATAAAAAACTATTATTCCTATCCCCATATCTTTGCTTGAGAACCCCTTAATTTCAAAATTATAATAATTCAAAGGGAGGTAGTTTACACTTTTCATTCCAGGGAAGGCTCCTGCCTTCTCTAGCAAACACCTGTCTTCCAAAACAAGACAGATGTACTGGGGAAATGGAGGGAGGGAAAGCACTTAAGGGCAGAAGTATCACTGGACACAGCACATATCCTTCTGAGCTATGTGAAATGCTGATAAAACCCAATTTATATCCATGTGAAGCTACATCTGCTCTAGCCTTAGCCTGTAAGTTTTAAAGACCAAGGACCACCATGTCTTGCACAGCAACTACTACAGGACAGATCCAGGCTTTGTCAGTTGCTCTGCCTCTCCTTATTTTACCCTAGCAAAGCAAAATATCAATTTCACACATACCTATGACAATGGAGTAAGTTTCCATCCCAGCCATGGGCCACCTCAAATGGTTGGGACCATGTTTGGTGGGGCTCTTGGATTCTCAGCTGCCAGTCCTTTGGTCTTCAGGGTGGGTTTGAATTTTACCAGGAGCATCTGTGTTTTCCTGGTATATTATTATTTGATGGTACAGGCAATGAAACACGGTGCAATTTCTTAACACAAATTGTAAAGATGTTGGAAAGTTTGTTTAATTTGATGTAACTGTTTTGAAACACAAGAAGCATTAGAGACAAATTTTGACCAAAGATGACAGATTCTAGTGACAGCAGCAGTAGGGCACATGCTGGACAGAATTAGGTCTTTACCATGTAAAAAGACTGTTCACATCCATAATGTTTGTCTGCAGCACTTCAGAAAACATGGCAATATACCTACAGTTTTGTAAACTTCTGTTATTCATATTCTTGTTCCTGTTTATCCTATTCCTGTTCCTGTTCATTTTCTTAACTCATTGCTGTTTTCAGTGAACTGTTCCTATCCCTACCCTTGAGCTGTGACTTTTGTGCCTCCAGCTGGAGGTGGGGGGAGGAGAGCATGGGAGGCTTTTTTAGTGTGAGTACTAAAGTGGAGAATACCATTCCCAAATCATGACAGAAGGATGCAGACATTTAAGTTTTTAAATCAAATATTTCATATATGTTGTGGAACATACCAGAAATTCCAGTCCAGCTGCTGGCTGATGTTTAACTCCAAAGGTCAGACTCACCCAAGCTGTAGATGTTGTGGTATCATTATTGCTAGAAATGTTTCCACTATCTAAGCATTTAATCACATTGGAAAATCTATTACTACACCTCCATACTGCTTATTTTCTCAGTCCTTAATAGTGGCTAACAATTGTGATAGACCAGAAATCTGTAATATCAACACAGTTTCACAACTAAATGAAATGATTTTAAATTTTCTGTGTTGGAGGTAGTATGTGCAAGAAATCCCAGACAATGTTGACAACATGAGTTTGGCCTAAGTAAAAGAGATTCAAACTCCCACCTATGTCAAAAGAAATGACACTGCTTTTTCCACTTAACATTTGAGGGCTTAATATTCATAAAACATCAGATTAAAATACTTTGATGCATCCTCATTAGTTTAAACCCTTGTTTCTTTTATTTATCTCAGTACCTGAAGAGTGGAGAACCTTTAAAGTTCTCTACTGGTTTGCAGCCAACCGATCAGGTTTAGCTTAGCTGATAACATTTAGGCCCCATCCATCAGAATCCAAACAAAATTCTAAATTCTGGCATTCCAGGAAATTTAAACTCCAGAAATACATCTGTTCTTCTCTGTTCCCTGCAAATCAGGAACAATCCTATCCAGTTCTCGGGATTTAGTTTCTGTGTGGCTTTGGTGAGAGATATGCAAGAAGAAATATACATTGCAGGTTATGTGTCTGGGAAGTGTCAAATGCAACACATCTTTTCTTAAGCTAACAAGTATCTACAGAAAAATATGCATTATATGGTTCCTAATCAAACTACATTGCTGTCTCCACTCCTTAAGGCTTGGGAAATGATTTGCTTTAATTTTTAGGGCTTGGGAGAACTGCCCTCAGTAGGGCTCTTGGAGCCCTTTTTTGTAATATTGTCATTAAGATGAAATAAAATATGGGGTGATTTTCTTGCCTGATGTAGTTCTGTTCTCCATCATCTCCAAAATTAAAAAGATGCAGTATTTCAGAAAACTGTAGAATATGGTATGTGTGGTACATCTTTCCACCATGGTCTCTCTCTGAGCATTACCCACTTCCCATAACAGAGATAATTTATCACTTGAACTCACCAAAATAGTTTTAGACATAACCTATAGAAATTCAAGGAATGCAGCAGTTTGTGCTAAATGTCAAGATTTTCTGTGCAATTTTCTAGGGTAAACTGGTGGGTATGCCTTCATCTCTTCCCTAAGTTTTCAATAAAATTTAGCTAGACTTCCATTATAATCAGTACAACCACTTAAAGTCTCACCCACCTGACACAATGGATTTTACAACTGCTCTCCATAAGTTATTTGACTTGTCCTTATGTAACATAGCAGGTATAGAAGTTCTGTAAAAATCATAGAAGCCTTTTTCAGCTTTCTAGTTTATATTAGAAGACTTTTGAACTCAGGAAACAAAAATAGGCTTTCAACTCTGAACTTGCCAAATTATCTGGAAGCTCTTTGGCTCACTGATGGGTAACCAAAACCTACCTGCCTCTATGTATCTGTTCTGATGAAAAGAATAACTCCTTTGTCTACAGAAGCTCAAGCTAAGAAGGAGCTGGTTTGCATTTTATTTCCATATAATTGTCCATTAGCTGGTTTAGACCATCACTCTTGTCCAACCTTATACTCAAGTGTTCATCAATACCTGAAAGTGGCTGGAGTGATAAAACTGGTAACACATTTGCATAACAAAAGTGATTGAACTTTTAAATTATGAGTGAGATGATTAATAAATTCATTTTTATTAAAACACAGAAGGACTCCATAGCCTAAATGTGGCATATACTAAGTGGTCTACTGCTGAAGATTTGGTTTAAACTTTCAATCTAAAGAATCTAGTGCTCTACCAGGCTGCAAGATGACCTCCAGCAGAAATAATATCACCCTGGTAAATACCTCTCCTTGTCCAATCCAGCAAAAAATAAATTTGTCCAAACAGATGGGGATTTATTCTAACAACATAGTTTCTCCAGGGTGCTATTATTTCTAACAACATCCCAGACAACCATGGTTCAAATGATGCGTGCCTTCCACTCAGCTGCACTAGTATTTGTTCTAAGTTGGTCTCATACAGTCAGCTAAAAATTACACTGTGTTTTGAAATTATGCTCTGTGATTGCAATGTTTTCTTTTATGAATTATTGGTCAGTTTTTGTTCCAGTGGTAAACTTCAACGAATTCCCCCACCCCTGCAAAGGTAAATTAGAGATAAAGCCTACATTCCTGTCCTTTCTGTCTTTACATGTTCTGGTTTGGGACCTACAATTAGAAGTAAAAAAACCAAGAGGACAGTAAAACTAGGAGATGAACAGCTACTGAGCCCTTTCACCACCATCACCCCACCTGGCTGCCCAGAATTGAACTGTGGCAAGCACTCAGTGTGTGAGAATGAAGTGAGAAATCTGTGCATAAGAACACATTAGTGCTTTGAATAGTTATTAGACTGTATTGCCCCAAAGGTCTTTTCTTATGTCAGGGTAAAATGTCATCCAAATTCACTGAGCAGTGGTAGCACATTGCTACCCCATGGAAATTACTGATAGTTAATTCAATTCTTCAAACAGCTGAGAATGTTTCCCCAGCAGTTACCTACCAGTTACAGCATTATAACACCTCTGAAAAGTTTTGAAGTGTGGATTTTGGTTTCTGTGAACTGAAGATACCTCAGTTCTGGTGTCAGATAGTAAAGATTCAGCAATTACAAGAAGAGTTCTGATACTGCCACTGCAACGGCTGTCTGGGAAATGGGGAGGTGGAAGTGAGATATGGTTGAGATGAAAAGAAAGTTAATTGTCCTGAAGCTGCTAATTATCAAGAAGACCTTGGCGATTGGCATAATTTTCTTGATTTTCATGTGGCTGAAGTCTGAAGTTACCATTGTTTTCCTCATAGACATCCCTGGGAGTGTTCAAGACCAGGTTGGACAGGGCTTTGATCAACCTGGTATAGTGGAAGATGTCCCTGCATATAGCAGAGGTTGGAATGAGCTGGGCTGTAAGGTCATTTCCAACCCAAAATATCCTGTCATTCTCTCAGGGGCTGGGTGGAGGAGAGGCAACTGCAGCCTAGAGTTGGGATGGAGGAATGAAGGAGAAACAAGGAGCAAGAATCCTTCTTCAACAAATCAGGAAGCTCTTATCAGGGCAGAATATCCAGAAAGAGAACAAAACTGAGCTCCTGGGGCAGGCTTTTCTCTAACTTTACAAGCCTTTTTTGACCAAAAGAAAAGGGAAAACATTTCTGTAAAAGAGCCACCCATGATGCTCCTTCTGTGGCTCCTGATTAGTGTGGTGTATATCCAACCCAGTGTTTGTTGTTCAGTAATGAGTTGTTCCTTCCATGCAAGAGCTAGCTGAGATCCTAGAAGCTGCCTCAGAGTCCCTGCAGCCTGCAGTGCTGGCCTGGGAGGGGTAAGGCCACTGCTGTTTGCAGCTGGAATCTCTGCAATAGAGAGGGGAGAAGGGAAGCTGCATTCTCTGCTTAGCAGCAAACAAAAATACCAATTATTTTAGGGAAATACTTCTGGTAGCAAAAACCTGCTTCTGAAAAAACCTATTCTGAGTGATCTAAATGTAGTAAATAATTTGTTCATTTTTTCGTCCTGAATGGGGGGCCTCTCAGGCGAAAATCAGACTAGATATAAATAGCAGCAGAAAATTATTAGTTTGATTGTTTCAGCCATGCATGGTTTTAGATGTGTATCTTCCTTCTAGCATGGAAACCTGTGGTTTATTATGTGTTATCCCAAAGGTTTTCTAGCACAAGATTCCAGCCCTGTTCCTTTTGCTTCACAGGTTTTGATTGCTAAAGGGGATTTTCAGTGCTTATTCAGTAGTAGCATTATTTCAGGTTTTTTGAATCTGCTTTGATAATTCCACTTTATATTTTTCTCTCTAATTGCAGGTCTGTGTATTAAAAAACTACAAAAAAAGCAATAAAAAGCCTTTGACTACTGTGTGAGAATGCTACTGTCACAAGGAAAGTTTATCCTATTCAATGGAAGTTCCAAGCCTATAAAATTGATTTCTTCTATTCTTTCTTCAGAAAAAAAATGAGTTTAAACCTCTCATTGACCACTTGTACTAACATACACCTATCTGAAAGTGCAAAGAGGAGTTTAAATTGGAATAATTTTGTGCAGCTTGAGTAATGTACACAAGATGAATAGCAAACCAAATTTAGATCAAAATGTCATTTTGAACTGAGCAGGTGTTAAAATATAAGATTACAGGAAAATGCAATGAGTCAGTCCCTGAATAAACCTAATCTGAGTCTTGACTGCAGACTAGCTACATAATCTGATCAGAAAACCCTAGGGAGACCGTGGCTTTGAGAAAAACAAAATGCTGGATTTGATGTTTTTACTCCATGGGAATTTTAGGAATTCCCTAAGTGGGCTGATTGCTGAGAGGAATTTTGTTTTCCTTCTCTGCTTAAAAAAATACTGTACTTATTTATTGCAAAGTCAGAAAGTACTTTGGACCTGATTAGTGTAAGAAATTTGATAGCCAGGATGCCTTGGAAAGAAAAAACAGAGCTTTGAAGACTGCAAGAAGATTGAATCAGACTGGTGACAGGGAAGATTAAATCAAGTAGAAGAGATGTTGCAAAAAGGTATAAATTTATATGTTTGTATGATGTTTAACCCAATCACTGTAGTATAAAATTACTAGCTTTCCTAGAATGGTATATAAGCTTATGTAGGCCACAGTAAATTTGGATTCTGATCACCACTCAGTTGTCCCCGTCTCTCTCCATCACCAATACTTATTTAGTTAGTCCATAGATAAATTGAGGCAAGTAAGTTTGTTATCAAAGCTGAAGTTCTACAGCCTTTCAGGCTGCAGCACAATTCATTCTTGTTGTCAATAGCTTGAAAATGATATTTGTATCTGCTTGTGCAGCTGAACCCTGGGCTACTGGTATTAGGTTGCAGCGGTGGAGTGCTCAAGTGTAGTGGAACAAATTCCTTCCCAGTAAGATAAAAATGCAAGATAAAATAGCAATACTGTAGCACTGAACTTGAAAAACACACCTGAAATGTTCACTGTATGGGTATTTTGATTTTCAGGTGTACACAGACTCTAGGAGAGGCAATTCATCTATAAACACCTCTTTAAAATCCTCGAGCCTGTCCATCTTATGCAGAGCTTCTGTCCACAGCAGAGGCAAACATTACAGCGGGGAAGGCTGTGGCATGGAACTGCAGGGAGACAGAAAAATAGGAGAAAATTCAAGGGAAAAGAGGACATTTTCTTCTCCCAAAGAACTGGGAGTGGTGATACCTCCCTTTTCCCCCCAGATGAAGGTTACCCTCAGCAGGTCAAAGCCTGATTATTCCCAGCCCTGAGAAAGTAGGAAGGAGGCATGTGCAAGAACTTCATTTTCATGCTGTGTTTCATACATGCAGCCTGCACTTTTGCTAATAAAGAGTAGGGGACCAGGATGAGTGGCAGGATTTGCTTTGCCAGAACAATTCTTGAGCTATTCCAGCTTGGAGGTGTGCACAATACATGCTGTCTGTGCGAGGGAAGGCAGACACACACTGACCTGGGTATTCACATTTGAATTGCATCACAATAAGAATTTACATAAATGAAAAGTGAGAAGGAAGATTAATGAAGATAAATAAATATTTACCAGCATGGGAGGAGAGAACTGTTTTGCACAGATGTAAGGTAGAATGATTGGTGGAGTTGCTCTCTGGGATTTAAAATTTTCAAAAAAACACACAAGTGTATATCCATGCATAAAGCATGAATGTGCAGGCTCAAAATTACACAATTGTCATACAAGAAGTATTTCTGTAATTGTAAGGTATGCACAGTCAAAGCCCTGTTTATTCACGTGCTCTCAGAAAGAGACATCTTCTGGGAAGCCAAGTGTCCCAAGGATGTGTGGTCAGTGCTGTCCAAAAAAACAGAGCTACCCTTGGTGGCTCAAGGTGAGCACTACAAAACCGAAGTACTTACATTCCTTTTTTAAAGATTTTTTTAAATTTTCATTTTTTATGTCAAACCAACTACTCCCTGGAACAAGGGCACTTACACTGAGTGAACTTTAGGAAAGGAAGCTTGACTGCAATTTTGGTTATTTCCCAGTACCCTTTCTAATGTGACCTGGACAAAAGTTCAAGTTAAATATTACATGAAACTAAAGATTTGCTAATCCCAAAACATAATGCTGAAAATCAGTCTATTGTAGAACTAAATTTTCTATTGTTCAGATCCCAAATAAGGGGAAAAAAAGTGAGATCAGAGAGCCGCATGATCAAAAAAACTGGTATGAAATATTAGTGGTCACTAAGCAACAGGAGACTGAAACTCTGGAGCAGGGTACCTTGGGGCCAGATATCTCAGCTTTGTTCACTCAGACAGTGGATGTTGTCATTGCCATTGAGACTCCAGAGCTACACAGAGATTGTATATTTACTTTAGTTTGTCCTTACTGTATCACTGACTTTCTTTATAAATTAAATGGCAGAATGAAACAGAGGTCCTAGATGCTCTTTCCTTGAGCCTTCTCTTCCAATGCTCTTCTCAAGGCAGTTTTAACTGAATGTGTCAAATCCTGTTGGCTGGAATAATTCCCATGAAAATTCCTGTCCCCTTTTAAGTTTTGCCTAAAGGAGTTTTTGCAAAATGGAGCAAAATCTCTCAACTATTCTTCGTGGTTGTTCTTCATATAACTATTAATTATTACCTAAGGCATACAGGTACAATGTATAAACAATTGCAACACATGAAAGGCAAATTTTACAGAATCTGTTACTTCATCTTCATTATAAAGCAACAACTTTGAAACATAAATGTGGCGGCGTGCCTCGGGGGAGGCAAAACAGTTACATTGTCCCACCCCAAACCCCTTGTGAAGGGCAGCCCAGGAGTTCTGATGGGGTTTGAGTCCCTGGGGGGGTTCTCCCTTGGTGTGTTTCTACTGGTCCCTGACCCTGAACTCCACCCTCAAGGGTGGAGACCCTCAAGAGTTCTGTCCCTCAAAAACCCCTGCCGTGCCTCTGTTCGGGGCTCTCTGCTAGGAAGAGTGACTGAAAAGGGAAACAGCCTCATTCATAAAAACACAAGCTATTAAATGTTTCTCTCTTATCTACCTCTCTCCTTTAAAGCCACGCATGGAAAACACCATCTTTGTGGCATGTTTTACATTCCTGTTTTCACAGCAGAGTACCTACTGAATGCTAGAATTTCTGCTGCTAGCCTGGGACTAACTGTGCTGATTAAGCAGCGAGATTATTTTCAAGAACTGATAAGCAGCTTCACAAGGAAATGCAGTAGGAGTACCCTGAAAAATCACAAGGCAACGTGCTGTGGAGCAAAGGCACTCTAGTAGGGCACATGTAAGGAACAAAGACTAAGATTTGCTAGGATTCAAATGAAAATATATTTGCTGCTTTTTCAAAAATAATGCCTGGCCTTTACATGCTCCAGATCCTTGTGAGAATGACTGATACTGGTACACAGTATCAGTATACCAAAGTCAGGAGGAGTTAGGGTGCCATTCAGAGCCTGGACATCCAGGCATTTTTTTTTTTCCTGGCAAATGTCCAAGCCATGAGCAGACAGTTTCTCCAGAAAGCTATGGGAAATGGTGTCAAGGCTTTGCTAAACCCCAGGTAGACAGTCCACAGCCTTTCACTCACCCCCTGAGCAGGTCATCTTGTCACAGCAGCCAGGTTGATCAAGCAGGGCTTGCCTTTCATGAACCCATGCTGGCTGGGCCTGATCCCTGGTTGTCCTGCATGTGCCATATGATGGCACCCAGAATGGTCTGCTCTGTCACCTTTTGAGGTACCTGAGACTTTTCCTCATTCTTTGTCTCTGGGTTTCCCCAGCCATCCAATAAAGGAAATTCTCTTTAGCCCTCATTTTTAGGTTAATGTATGTATAGAAACATTTATTTTATTGTCTTTTACAGCAGTGGCCAGATAGGCTTCTATTCTTGTTTTCTCTCTGCATAACCTCATTACATTCTTGTTGCTTTCCTGACTTGCTGTCTCTTTCAAAAGTCATAAACTCTCCTTTTTACTCTGAGTTCCAGACAAAGTTCTTCTCCCTCTGGCTCTTCTTTTAGCATAGCCTGCTCCTGTGCCCTGAAGATTCCTTCTTACAGCATGTCCAGCCTTCCTGGCCTCCTTTGCTGTTCAGGACAGCCTCCTGAGAGACTCTGTCAACCAAAGTCTGCTCTCAGGGAGTCCAAGGTGGCAGTTCTGCTGACTCCCTTACTGCTCCAAAAATCAAAAATTCTATCCTTTTAAGGTCACCAGGATGGCCTCCCACCATGCACTAGAACTTCTCTCCTCACAAACAGCATGTCCAGGAGTTGCCTTCCCTAGCTGCCCCCTCACCAGCTGTGTCAGAAACATCTCTTCCACACATTCCAGGAACCTACTGAACTCTCTCCTCTGTACTGGATTGTATTTTCAGCAGAAGTCTGCTGTGTTGAAGCCCGCATGAAGACAAGGGCTGGCCATCATGAGGACTTGGTCAGGTGATCTGTACCCAGCTACCACCTGGCTATCTGCCCTGCTGGCCTTCCCCACAATTCTTACCCACCAACCCTCGACACTTGCATCACCACTGTCAAACTCTAGACTGTCAAAACACTCCTTCACATACAGGACTACCCCACCACCCCTCATTCCTTGCCTGTCCCTTCTGAAGAGTTCACCACCATCCATTGCACCATTCCAGTGGTGCTAGTCATCCCACCATGTCTTTGTGATGGCAACGATGCCATAGTTTTCCTCCTGCACCATGCCTTCCAGGATCTCCTGTTTGCTGTCCACGCTGCAGGCACTGGGACAGATGCACTGGGTTATCAGTCCTGATGCCTTTTTGGATTTTGCAGCTTTCTGGGGAGAGAAGCTCCAATTCCTGAATGGCCATTCTCAGGATCTTCCATGGTTTCTGGGACATCAATAACACTTGCACTCTTGCTGCTTCATGGATCTCTATCTCCTGTGTCTACTGAGATGGTAGCCTGAACAACCATCCTTAGAACAGTGTCAAGCCACTCCCAGGCTTATCTCAAGTGACCTGGTTTTCATCCCCTTCCCCCTTCAAATCCAATTTAAGGCTCATTCAACATGCCCTACTAAGTCCTGCACAAAGATCCTTTTCCCTCTGAGACAGGTATAGCCAGTCTGTCACCAGTAGGCTTGTTGTCATCTAAACCATCCCAAGATCAAAGCCCCCAAAATTCTGTTGGTGACACCTGGCTTAAAGCCAGGGATTTGTCTGTACAACTTTCTACCCTGAGCAGTGGACACCCCAGGCCAACCTTCCCCAGTTTTACTACCTGTGGTTGGGAATATGCCTGGGGTCAGCTGGGTCCAATGGCCATATCCCTTCCCAACTCCTTTCAAACCCCCACCCTACTTGCTGGTGGGGCAGCATGAGGAGCACCAAAGGCCTTGATGCTCAGTATTGACTGAAACATCCCTGGTTTATCAATGCTCCCTCCAGCAAAAATCCAAACCACAGCCCCAGGGAAGAGAACTTCTCCTCCACCCAACATGGTACATTCTCAGGTCCTGTGGTATCCAATACCCCACCAGCCCCTTCCCACCCTTAGCTATCATGCACAGATATAATTCCTTTAGTCTATGGACTATGAAATATCTATATATATATATATCTACTACTCCTATGAAATATCCATAAAATTCCCATAAAATGTCCACACATCTTCACAAAATCATAGAATCACAGAATGGCTTGGGCTGGGAGGGACCTTAAAACTCATCCTGTTCCAACCCCCTGCCATGAGCAGGGATACCTTCCACTTGACCAGGTTGCTCTCCAGGTCCCATCCAACATTGAACCTTCCCAGGGATGGGGCATATACCCGCTCTAGTTTGGCCTTCTGCATGGCTGAAGTGCCTCCTGGGGTATATCTGCTCTGTTGAGGGTTTATGCATGGCCACACACTTTGAGGTGTTCCAACATGACGTCCAGCACAGCCACAGATGCTTCAAGGTGTACCTTCTCCAGCATGGTTTTATTCTTGGGCCACATTTCCTTCAGAGGTGCTCCTGCTGCAGAATGGACATACCCATGGTCACTGATGAGGTGTGCTGCTTCCACATGGATACATCCACATGTCACAGTAAACAGAAGAATCCACTAATGAGAACCAGACTAATTTACGGTAAGGCATGCACAGGAGCCTTGTGGTTTTACTTTTCCTTCCTCCTTGGCCTCCAGGGCTGCCCTGGCCAGGCTCTCTCTGGCTCCACCAGAGCTTACCCCTCATCCCAGCTGCCCCAAGAGGACAGTGTCTCCTTTTCCTCACCAGGGTTCCCCAGCTAGATTCCTGCCCTCAACCAGGGGTAGTGCTGCTTGCATTTCTCCCACTACAGCAAATCCTTCATGTGCCATCCCAGTGAGACCCAGGTTCCCTCCTCCTTGGTGTCCCCAGCACCTCAAACTCTCATCCCTCTGACCCATCATCACCTCATATCATGGATATCCCCCCATATCTGGCTGTTGTCCACCTCCCTGCTGGCTGATGGAGCCCCCTGTCTGGGGAGGCCCCAGCTCCTGATGGATGTGAACCTGACCAGTACATGGGGGTGATGGGTGAGAATGGCCAAGTTACTGCTGCCTGCATAGGAGGAGCCAGAGGTGGCTGAGCCACAAATGATAAATTCTTGGGGGTTCATTTGGCTTGAAAGGGTGCCTAGCTGTAGGCTGCCATCCCAGTGTCATCAGCATTGGCCCCATGGTCCCCCTGCTTTGTCTCTGAACCTCCAAGTCTGCTGTGCCCTGCTGTGCAGACCCAGGTCCCCAGAGAGAGGCATTGCTGCCGACCTGAGCCACAGCCTAAACCATCCTCAGCAGCATGATGGGGATTGGGGCAAACACTGCATCCCAGGTCAGGAGCACCCTGCACCCATAAGCCCAGGACATGCTGCTGGCTGGGATCCCAGTGGGGTTGCTCCTGGTGGGTGACACAGCAAAGCAGGTCTCAGCTGGTGTCGGCATCAGTGTCTGGGTCAGTGCTGGGACATGTGTCAAGGAGAGGCTCTGCCCTGTGATGCAGCTGGGGTGCTTTCCCTCAGCCTGCCCTGTGTCTCTCTGCAGCCCCTCCCTGGCCCCACCACCCTCCCTGACCTGACCTTGCTCCTGCTGCCACACCTCCCCAGCCACTCATGGAGCAACCAGTTGCTCCCCTGTCTGCAGCACTGCAGCACCTCGGGGCTTCACTCAGGGTGGCTCTGCCTGCCATGGAGCATCTGCTGGCCCCAGACCCTGGCCACCAGCAGCCCCCCACACCATCAAGACCTCCACCTCATCAAGGAGATAGTATGGAACATGGCCCCCACCTTCTTAGCTGCTACTGTGTCCATGGGAACATTGCAGTACCACCAACCCATCCATGTTGGCTGCTCCACCTCCACTTCCCTCTGGAAAACGGGCACCCTGCCCTTCAACTGGGATGTCATCTTCATGATGGAGACCTGTTGCAGTGCATTTTTGTTCATTATATTTGATTCAATTACCTCCTGTATTGTTAAGTTGTATCCCCACTCCCCCTTATTAATAGTTTAGTTCCAGTTGTGCCCTCCTACCCCGGTTGCCAGTCCACCCTGATACCTGCCCCTTGTTCCCAAATGTTCCCTGGTCTCCCTCCCATTAAGTTGTCAATCCTCCCTTGTGCCAACACCCTGCCTGGACTGTCCCCTTTGGAATTCCCCTATTCCTCCAAGCCCCATTGGACCATGTGCCCCACTCTCCTCCCCTTGTGTTACCCACTGGTTTATGTACTGTGTAACCCAGCCTTGCGCTCTTCGCCTAAGTCTTCCCTATTGGTTTATTATTTGTACACTCCCCTTGCTCCTCCCCCTTACTTACACGTACCCCTGTATCTTTTGTCTTTCATCCCTGGAACCTTCAAGAGAATGAATCCCTTTTGGAAGCCACATGGAAGACCTCTCCCATTCCTTGCTCCTGCCCTCGATGCTGGACAGCCAGGGCCATAGAGCATCAGCCCTAATCTGCCCTGCTTCCCAGGAGCAGCCCACTCTTGGCTCAGTGCCGGGAGCTGGCTGGGGAAAAATCTGGCACTGTGTCAGAGACCTGCTACAGTGTCCCTACCAAGGACTTGTCCCATAAGGACAAGGAGGTCCTCATCCTGCTTTTCCAGATGTTTGAGGTTGCTGAAATTGCCCTCTTCCAGCTGTTTCCAACGGTGCTCAGCACCTACAACTGTGATTTTGTGAAAGGTGATGTCCCTGCAAGACAGTCTCTCCCACTGCTGGGCCATGGGGACTTGCGGCAGGGAACAGTCCTGTCCCACCAGGTCTGCCAGGACAGGGAGATCTCGATCTTGGTGGTGGGGAGGGCATGCCATGGACACACAGCCTTGCACATCTCAGAGCAGCTCTCACCTGTGGTTTGCAGTAGGGTCTGTGGGCAGCAAAGTGTGCCGCAGCATGACGCAGCATGGCGTGAGATGGCATGGCAGGGCTGGGTGCCATGGTGTGCAGTGAGAAGTGTGCTGCTGCCATCACACTGCGGCAAGAAGAAGGGGTCAGGGATGGAGCCACCAGCGTCAGGGGAACAGCAGGACAGGATGAGGGACACGGAGATACCCGCACAGGGTCCTGCACGGCAGGTATCTGTGCTCAGCCTGGCCGTAGTGTCACTGCCCCCAGGACATTGGCTGAGCGTGACAGAGGCCTTTGCTGAGTGGCAGCTGTGGTGTCAGGATGCAGCTGTGTGTGGGGTCTGTGAGAGGCTCTCCCAGGAATGGAGTCTGGAATTAACAAGGCTAGGGGGTGCAGGTCCCTGCCCAGGTGGCTGCTCCACTGCTTGCCTTCCCCTAGCTCTTAAGAGTCACTGTGGGACTGGGGTGTCCCCAGGGGGCTCCTGTGGCTCCCTGGGCTGAGGGCAGCTCATGGGGCGTGCACCTGGAGACTTCTCCACTCCCCCCCACCCCCATCCCTATCCCTCCCACATTCTGAGCATCCTGAAGTGTGATGCCCATAGCCCAGGGGTTGCTCAAAGGGTTTGGGATTTGTTCCCCAGCCTGTCCCACAGTCCAGGGGGTCACACCCCCCACAAGCACCTGAGGGAGCAAGAAGGGGCCTGGCAATAAAGAGCAGGTGGTATCCTGCCAGCACAGGATGGTTACAGGGGTTGCCCCACGGAGCAGCAATGCCATGCTGAGGAAGAGTCCCAACCCCCCCCAGGTGCAGAGAGGGATGTGGTGGGCCCATCTTCTGGGGTGCCTGCACTCCAGGGCTTCTCCACCCACACTCTCCTCCAGGACAGGGCACAGCTGTTGTGCCAGGTGTTCCCTGAGCATAACTGGGAGTACTGTGGCTCTCTAGCCCTTCACTAGGCAGGAAGGGGGTCAGGAATGGATCCTACACTTCATGGACCCCATGGCTACCTTATCTCCCTCCCCCACATGTGCCCTCTACACCCCTGGGCAGCACCATCACCGGGATGCAGGTGACACTGGGAAACCTTGATGTACTTTAATAAACTCTAGGGTCCCAAAGCCAGCTATGGGCAGGGCTGGTTTCAGCCCAGGCAGCGCTCCTGACTCGGCTTGGGGCACCAGGAGCCCCACTCACAGTGGGGCCAGCATATGTGGGGCCATGCAGTCCCCAAAGCAGAGGCGTCACAGAGACGGGCCTCCCTGGAGGTGTCTCATGTGCATGCAGTGGTGGGTGTGGGGCTGTCAGAGCAGGGAGCTGCACTGCAGGCTGCTCACTCAGCACCCAGCACTGGAGTTGCTCCTCCATCTCAGCCCAGGCCCTCACTCTTCCCAGTGATGGGGGCCAGTGCTGGCGATGGCCATCGCACCTCCCTGGTGTCGACACCGAGGGGACTGAGCACCACGCAGGTGAAGTTGGTGTGCAGGTACTGCTTGTTGAAGGAACTGAAGTGCAGATCACGGTGCAGGGCCAGCCCCGAGGCCTGCAGCTCCTCTCTGGGGAGCCAGCAGGGACCAATCAATATCTGGTCCAGACGGGCAGGCCCAGAGGCCCTGCCACAACCGGGGCTGCCCCGCTGTCACTGCCCCCCAGGCCTCCTGTCCCCATACTCACTGCACTGTCCCCTCACGCACAGCCCCATCCGGGTGCAGGCTCTCCACAAAGAAGCCGTTCTCCAGCCAGTAAAGCAGCGTCGACTCTGGAAGCCCACTCAACGCCTCGCACGACACAGTCACGCTCTCGCCTGCAGCCGGAGGGAGCGCGAAGGGCAGGAGGGCCGCGAGGGTCCCCAGTGCCCCCCAGGCACACGCACAGCTCCCCTCCCCAGCTAAGGGGAACATTCCCCCACCTCACCAGCACCCTGAAATCTTGGCTGCAGGTGGAGGATTCACCTTGTGTCTGCTGGAGGCTGGCACAGGAGCTGACCCCCACTGCAGCCTCCTCACACTTAGGCCCTGCCATGCCCCCGAGGGTCTCTCACCTGGGAGGGGGAGCTCTGCTGGCATCCGCAAGATGGTGATACGGGGTGGCTGCAAGGCCATGGCACCTGGGGGAGCAGAGTGAGGTGAGATGGGAAGCCAAGAGTGATCCCAAGACTCCACATTTTTGTAGTGGGTGAGCAGGCAGGGTCTCATAAAGGGACGGGGGCAATGCTCATCCCCAGAACCCTGAACAGGCCTCTTGAGGGGCATAGAGCTCGGGGTCCTTAAGGCCCGAGTCTTAAGCTCCCCAGCCCCACAGTAACCCCCACTTACCTGTGCAGCAAGCAGCCAGGCTCCAGCAGAGCAGAAGGATCCAGGCAGGGCGTCCCAGGAGCTCTGCAGGCAAAAATGGAGCTCAATGCTGGGCACCCAGGGATGCTCCCCATGAGCTTCGGGTGGTTCTCCCAGAATTCCCTGAGCCTGGGATGGTCCCGTCCTCTCAGCATCCTCCCAGCTGGCCATGGGAACCCCAGCATGCTCCCCCCAGGACTCCCCAAGTCGATGTATTCCGTACCCTCGTATCCACCCAGCACCCCCCGAGTCTGGGATAGTCCCGTACCCCCCAGCATCCTCCTCCCGGAATCTCTCAAGTCGCGGCTAGCGTCCCTCAAGGCTGTGCACC